CTACCTAATGCTGTCTCACGACTGCAAGCAGTAGGTTATGCAGAACAAATACATGAGATAATTTTGTAAAATTGTATTATTGATTATAAAATCATCTGGTGTTGTTTTCTAATAAAATTTTATTTATTCTTAATTAAAGTTATATAACCATTAAAATATATATTAAAATATATATTAAATATAATATATATTAAAATATATATTATATTTTTCAAATATTATCCTAAAGTAAAAAGTCACACTGTTTTAACCTATTTGCAAGTATTCTTTTTACATGACTCGTGCAGGTGCAGGTCCACAATAAATTATGCCATTAGGATATATTGATGACAAAACAAGATAGATTTGTTTGCACAGTTTGTTTTAAATTGTATGTAATTCTACAAACGTTTCTTAATGTTATTATTTTTTAACATTTGAGTTATTTCTTTTATTCTTATTTTCTTTTAATACTCATTACAACTAAATATTTTTAGATAAAAAATAGATGTACTAGAAATGTGGGAAATATTTTTTGATCACCCATCTGATGAAGATGATGAGGATAACTTCCAACTTCCACGGGAACATCATATAAAGATCCCACATTTTTTTGAAAACATTGTCGTAGCATATTCATTGACAGGTAAAAGAATTTAAAATTTTGTTGTCCTATAATAATTTATTGTTTTAAGTTTATATAAATGTTCTTGCATTATATGTTTTGATTACAATAAACTATATTAACATTATTAAAATAGATTTTAAATCTATCTTGTTTTGTCATCAATATACCTAATGGCATAATTTATTGTGGACCTGCACCTGCACGAGTCATGTAAAAAAAATACTTGCAAATAGGTTAAAACAGTGTGACTTTTTACTTTAGGATAATATTTGAAAAATATAATATATATTTTAATGGTTATATAACTTTAATTAAGAATAAATCAAATTTTATTAGAAAACAACACCAGATGATTTTATAACCAATAATACAATTTTACAAAATTATCTCGTGTATTTGTCACGATATTGTTCTGCCAAACCTATTGCTTGCAGTCGTGAAACAGCATTAGGTAGCTTTGGGTTGTCATGAATCATATAATAATAGTAGATGTTGATGTCTGTAACTTATTTTTAGGAAAATGACTCGGAGAGGTATTATCGAAAACACTCATTATAATTAGAATATTTTTTCTGTTAACCAGTTTTATAAAAAATTTGTGATATTCAGTGAGACTAAATAAAGATTACAGAAAACACTACGAGTACACTTTTCATTATAAGTGTAATTTCTCTTTTATTTGCTATTGAGTTGTTTTAGGTATTCATATTATTTATTATTAGAATTTTTTTTTATTAACTATCAGTTTTATGTCTTATATTTTACGAAACTTCTAAAATAAAAGATCTACCGCTTTAAATTTCAAATCTACCGCTTTTTAGTATGCCATCTACCACCGAAGTTTTCAACCACCTGGCAACACTGCTGGCGCACGACACTTGCATCAAGCATTTGCTTAGTAGGCGTTCATGCAAGTCGGTGTGTAGAGTAACCTGTCATCGCGACCGCTGCTGCAGATCGGAAGATGATTCCATGCGACTCGCGTGCGCGATTCACTCCCTCTCATCTGGCTATGACCCTGCCGTCCGCGGCTGAGCGATACGCGTGACGTGTGCCGGCGACACCGATGCGAGGACGAGGGTGTCCTCGCGGACCATCTACTGCAACGGACGACGATGTCGGGCAGCAGCGATTCCGAGGAGTTTTTCGACGCGGAGGACGACTCATTTCATCGCGCCTCGCGGTAATTGTCATGGCTCGCCGCGCGGTTATTACCACGTCATGGGAGAAATTCCACATCTTGTTCAGTTCTATGATATGTGTAGGCGAACGTCCCTGCATTTTCGTGCGTCACGCTGTTGTCCTAACCGCTTCGCCGCGATTATTCGAAAGCGAATCGTAGTTCCCTGTGCGCACGAGCGGCCTTGCGACACATAATCGTTTTGCTTCCTTTCTCATATGCGTGACATCATCTTCTCATTGGATCAAAGGAAAAAAGAATTCCTGGAGCAGTATTGCGCTCAACTGCGCATAATTATCAAGGCCGAAATGTTTAAAGTTCAAATTGTTGCTAGCTCTTGCGATTAACTTTATAGAAGTATAAAACTATATTTTCAGAAATCATGTCAATTTTGCACTAAATATCTGAACAAATTACATATAGCATAGCTAATTATATTGCAACTGTTTTGTTTATAGAAAAGTTAAACAACGTGATGTTACCACCAATGAATCTCAATCTGATAAAGTGTCAGAAACTTGCAAACAAGTGGATGATCATGTTTTTGCAAAACCTGCTGAGCCTAAATCGACTGTTGAACCAAAGGGCCCTGTGCAACCTAAAGATAAAGTTGTAAGTATAAATGACATAATACACTATGTAATTAGAATGAAAACAAAGAAATGGAGAATGTTTCAATATTTTTCAGAATTAGAATAAAGTCTATGAGATATTTTGTTTAATATTCTGCAATATTTCTTCAATATTCTCGTACATATCTAGAGATATCTTGTAGAAGAAAAAATAAAGATTATTTAAACTGAAAAAGTTTTCAAATGGAGATAAAGATAAGAGAGGATTAGATAGAGAAGATTAGAACAACGTAGAGAAGATCAACGTAGAGAAGATTAGAACAATGTATGATATTTTGTTTGATATTCTGTGATATATTTTTACAATGTACTATACATATCCAGAAAATATCTTTTAGAAGAAGAAAATAAAATCAATTTAAATAAGAAAAGTTTTTTGATGAAGATGAAAATAAAAAGAAATAAGATTAGAATAAAGTCTTGTATGGAACATTTTGTTTGATACTCTGCAATATATTTGTATATATCTAGAAAATATCCTTTAGAAGAAGAAAGTAATGAGAATTCAAGCAAAAAAATTCAAATGAAGATGAGCACAAGAGAAGTAAGATTAAAACAGTCTAGCTTATCTAGAAAATATTTTTTAGAGGAAGAAAGTAAAGATAAAGTAAAAATAAAAGAAATTTTCAGATGATGAGGATATATAAAAGAAGTTAAATAGAAGAAATATTTTAGGATGAGGATGGCAAAGAATCGACGACAACAGACAAAATTGTGGGACGGAGAAGATTTCGCGAGCTTCGTCAACGTATGCAAACAGAGGACGACGATATTCCGATTAATAGCTCTCCTCCAGATAGTCAGACATCTTCCATCGAGGGTGTTTATCCCACCCCTTCAAAAACGACCCATCCATTCAGAATCATAGAGCATGACACTCTTAGCTTACAAAGTATGACCTCTCTAGGACGAGTGGGCCGAATTCTGGCGGGAGTCGCAGACAATGCTTCTGGCGTATTTGTACCTGGTATATCCCAGTGCCCTCCTTCTGCCGCCCTTATCCGTGAGAGTCAGATGTCCTCCATTGCTAGTATTCCAAGCAAAGACGAGGACACAACCTCTGGTAAGGTGTCCCAGTCTTCCAGCATCCTTACGTTATCAGGGGAGGTCCTTCAGGAATCCTCTGTTAACAGTAGGTCCAATTATGCTTCTCACTCGCAAAGTGATAAGATTGTTATGCTTCAAGAACCTGATGTCATCGCTAGCACAAAGAATAACGGGAAATCGACGGAAGATATTACGATGCCTGGTGTGCCCGTTGCCCCACCGCGTCGTAAAAAGAAAACGAAGGCTCACACACCAAGTGATCTTGCTGTAAGATTCATTGCGATTATCTTGTTTTAACGCAAACCAAAGATCAAGTGACTTACGAGTGTGAATTTACGAGTGAACAAATACAATTTGTTTCAGCCGTCTGTAGAGGCGCTTGTACCCGCATCGCCACTTCCAAGTCCAGCGAGTACCATAGAGTCGATTACCCGAGAATTCGAGCATTCTCTTGATATCCGATCCGCGACAAAAGGGCAATACGTCGTTAAGCCACAGGTAAACACACTCTGGCAGCGAGTTTGTGAAAGTACTTTTAAGGCTTCTGGCTACTCGCTGCGGTCATGATTTACGACATCAAAAGTGAAGAAATGCATGCCCAAATTGTTGCAAAGTACGTCAAAGTAAAAAAGTATATGCAAAAAATGATACAATTGATTAATCATACCTCTAAAATATATTATACTATATATTTTCCTTTTACTCTAAAATTTAATAAATAACTAAAATTAACATGACATAATAATAGGAGACATAATAATAGGTAGAAATATAGGTTAAAAAGGAAGATTTTCGTATAGTCACGTTGCTTTTACAGTTATTTGTCGATTATTAGAGCGAAAGGAAAGTGTTTGGAGTATTTTAGAAGTGTGTTTAATTGCAAGTCATTTTTTGGATGTATTGTATTATTTTAACGCACTTTGCAGGAATTTTGGGCTCGCTTTTAACGTTATTAATTAAGAGTTTTGCGAGTAGCCAAAAGCCTTAAGATTTATTAGATTTCTAATTTTTAATTTACCTACAACTCACGCTCAGTATTGATCCTTACGTTGTCAATCTGTAGGATGAGGATAAATCAAAAGCTGAAGGACCGTCTACCGAGGAATTAGAGAGGGTAGAGAGAATGAAAGCTGAGCTGCTTAGTGTAAGATCGAGTGAGAAGTCGTCTAATAGTCCATTAGGATCAGTATCGAGCAACAGTATTGGCCGTTATTCTTTAGGCCCGCATAAGTTCTCAGGGATGAGCCCACAAGGTTCCAAAGAGCGGCGCAAATCTGCTGGCGATCAGGACATGGTCAAACAATTGAATATGTTTGTGAGAACTAGGACAGATTCTGGCAAGCGTCTCACTGATATGGTTGGTCGTATAGATACATCAAGTGCATACATTATATATTAGCTATATATTAGGAAAGAAAATATAAGAACTCTTGATCTATTTTTGTAGGAGATCTTGGAGCAAGTGACTGTATTGAATTTAGATACGGGCGAACGAGTGCCATTAAGTATAGCAGAGGACAAATTGCCACAGTGCATCAATCCTCTATCGTTACATATTATGAGGCTTACGTCTGAATACATAAGCAACTCTAGTCTTGAGAAGGAAAAAGAGAGTGACGAGGAGAGCGTGGATAGTAAGATGTCCAGTATACCTCCAGACGAAGACGTGTCTGTAGGTAGAGTTCGTAAGCGAACGCAGAAGCTGAAACGATTCCTAGGTTCCACCGTAAAGAAAACAATGGACAAGGCGAAATCCATCGCGCAGGAGGTGTCGCACGCGAGACACAAAGAGGACGTCATGGATATCGTGGATGAGGTCTATCCTGGCGAGCAGCAATACATAAAGCTGAAGGCGTCGAACAGCCACAAGGGTCCGTACGAGTTCAGTTGCTTGCAGCACGTTCAGGATCTTAGCGGGGAACACGTGGGACCCGTTTGGTGCATGAAGTTCTCCGCCTGTGGTCGACTGTTAGCCACCGCGGGACAAGATCGTGTTCTCAGGATTTGGGTCCTGCGAGACGCCTTTACGTACTTTCAGGATATGCGAACCAAATACAACGCCGAGAAAGTCAGTCCCACACCTTCGCAGGAGTCGTTGGTCTCGCAACAGTCCATGGAAGATCCTAATGTCGTGGCTAGTGCCTTTAGTGAGATAGAAGGAACGAAAAGCCCGTTCATGCCAAAGCCATTTTGTACATACACCGGTCATACCTCCGATTTGCTCGATGTCTCATGGTCTAAGAACTACTTCGTTTTATCTTCGTCGATGGATAAAACTGTAAGGCTTTGGCATATATCCCGCAAAGAATGTCTATGTTGCTTCCAGCACATCGACTTCGTCACCGCTATAGTATTTCATCCGCGAGACGACCGATATTTCCTCTCAGGATCGCTAGATGGCAAATTGCGCTTGTGGAATATTCCAGATAAGAAGGTTGCCGTGTGGAACGAAGTGGACGGACAAACAAAATTAATTACCGCGGCGAACTTCTGTCAGAACGGCAAATTCGCGGTCGTCGGCTCGTATGACGGTAGATGCATATTTTACAATACGGATCAACTCAAGTATCACACGCAGATACACGTACGATCGACGAGGGGAAAGAATTCCACCGGTCGTAAAATAAGCGGCATTGAGCCTATGCCGGGTGAGGATAAGATTCTGGTTACGTCCAACGATAGCCGTATCCGTCTGTACGATTTGAGGGATCTAAATCTGTCCTGCAAGTATAAGGGATACGTGAACATCAGCAGTCAAATTAAAGCAAGCTTCAGCCCAGACGGACAATATATAGTTAGCGGCTCGGAAAATCAATGCATTTATATCTGGAAGACCCATCATGATTATTCCAAGTTTTCTAGCGTTCGTAGGGATCGGAATGATTTCTGGGAAGGCATAAAGGCTCACAATGCTGTGGTAACGTGCGCCGTGTTTGCACCAAATCCCGATAGTATTATCAAGCAAATCGAGGCAAGAGAACAGTGGGAGAGCAAGGAGGAGTCCAAAAATGTGGATAGTCCCAACGTAGGTGTTGTTCCCGTTGATCCTGTCGTTGAGCAACGCACTAAAGGCTGCGGAGGCCACGTTCTCGTGAGCGCCGATTTCAATGGATGTATAAAGGTTTTTTTAAACAAGACGAAACCTAAGCATAGTTCTCTACCAGCATCCGCACTTGCGTAACGTAACATTGTATATGAATTTTATGCGATATATATATATATATATATATATATATATATATATATATATATATATATATTTCTATCAACATATATATGTATATATGTGTTGATAGAAATAACGAAATATCTGCGCGCGAATATTCTCTCTTTGCCTCCTTATGTGCTGCAAGTTTCACTACGCGTCCTCTCCGTAACGAGGAGACGCACGGTTGTATGTAATCATTTTTAACGTCATATTCTTTACTCTGTGTTGCGCGAAAGCATTGTTTTGCCGTTACTACGAAGAACACTTCGCACAGGATATGTTGATAAAATGAGTTCCCACGAAATCATGCTTAGATATGTTTTAGCAACTATTAACACCTGTTGATTTTGCAAACGCGTTCTGCGTATACATGTCACACATGGATATTACAATGTCTAATACTGTTGACATTGAGCAAACAAGAGATTCGAGTGTATACTTGGATATTTTAAGTCTGCTTCTGGAAGCTTTTTCTATCTTTCCTTTTTCTATTGCAATTCGACGGTGCTGGTCCACTGTTACCATCGAGTTACTATTTTACGAGAGATTTATCAAAATTATGTCATAGTACGATAATTGAAATTGTCGGTGAAAATATGTGACGAGTATAAAAATCGTTCCAACATATATTACGTACGACAATGACGAAGTTACAAATGAAGACAACAAGAGCACCTTGGTGAAAACGAAGTATAAAAAAATAAAAAAGAAAAAAAATACATGTACGCAGACGACGGCGAGATATGTTCAACTAGCTCTCGTTTTATTAATTACACCGGACTCGCAGGTTTATATAACTTTTTCGATCGTTTATCAATAGGGCGAACTGTTAAATAGGAATTGCTAATTTTTATGGATATTAAATCGGATTTTGCAATCCTGATAATTTCTAAAACGCGTTCGATTAGAAAACAATAGCTATAAGATAGTGTAACACATCGAAGACAATATCAAAAGTGTTTTGAAGTTGAAACACATCGTGGTTACGTTTTTTCTACAAGCGTCCTACATAATTTAGAAGATATAACGCGGTGAAACGCGGTCTTCATCGTGAGATTTTAGAATAACGTTTGTGAGACGTGCTATGATTTGACGTTGCGATATGTGTAAAGGTTGCGATCCCGTAATATGCGTACACATATAGCTCACACCTTGTATATTAATGTTTTTGCGGTAGAAATTGTCATTTGCTCACGACACTCGCTATTTAGATTTTAACGCAATGTCGTAGAATACGCCACATTGATCCGATGTTATAACACAAGGCTCGGCACATTTTGCCCATTTCGGCCGATTCTCGGGAGCTACGTCTTCTACCTCTCTCTTGCCGCGCGGCGGGCCTAAAAAGTGACGGTCGTGCCTCTAAGTTTGGAGTCACAACTGGCCACGACTGTCACTTGCATGGTTCGCCGCGCGGCAAGGGGGAGAGAGAAGGCGTAGCTCCCGAGAATCGGCCAAAAAGGACAAAATGTGCCATGTAATATAACAGGGCCCTTATTCTTGAAATAGTTGCGTATACGTAAGTTTTATTGCACAGATTTAATCACCATAAAATAGCTCCGCAATGAAAATTACATATACTCAAAGATTTCAAGAATAGGGGCTCAGTGCTGAGATTCTGTAACTCGTTATTGGAGTTAACGACAGTTTCGTTATCGTTGTGCAGCAACGTAGAAAAGTATACCGTAGAAAAGCTGCACAACGATAACGAAACTGTCGTTAACTCCAATAACGAGTTACAGAATCCCAGCACAGGTGCGTTATATGCATGTCTACATGCGTATCTCGCGTCACTGTCAATTACGGAGAAACGGAAATTATTATCTTTAAGGATAAGCATATTCTACATGAGGACAGTTCGATACTGTCCGAGACTCGGTACATCATATTTCTTATTTAATTTTTTACATTCAACAGCTGATCTTTATTTATTTATTTATTTTTATTTTTATTTTTTTTATTTTTTTTTTTGGAAACGTTCGCACAATTAAAATATGAAATAACCTAAAACTTATAACAATGAACAAAGAAGTCCGAGTTACGGACAGCATAAAACGTGTTTAAAATGTATCGTGATTTTAATGTAAATATACAAGGAGGATTGTAGGTATTTTATGTAAATGCAATTGTAAATACGGTCGCGTGTATCGATACTTGTCGACGGTAGGCTGCACAAAAGCTATTGTTTCCCATAGCGAATTGTGTAATATAAAATGTATTAATAGTTTACTGGATATATCGTAATGTGTCTAATTTTTAGGCCTGTTTCACCATACGTTGGTACACATAAACTTACATTAATCATTGTCGCATATTGTGCTTTTATTTTACGAAAGCCCGTCTCAAGACTCCCTTACTCTTATTCCTACATTATACAGGATACCTGACACAAGACACACACGTGTGCAGGTGGATTAGGTCGAATTGAACAAAAAATTCCTCTACCATTTTGCAAACGACCACGTAAAATTTTTTACTGAAATATTAATGAAATTATAATGAAATTTTAATGAAATTAGATCAAAATTGTAAATACTTTTCAAACGCATTTCAGCAAAAGTTCATTATATTTTCAATAAATTATTTCCATCGGATACAAATATTTCAATTGAGATCTTACATGCGAAATTTTGCGAAAACTTCTGAGAATTCAATTGGGAATTTAATTGTGATCTCAACAGAAATTTTTCAGTAGGGATGTGATTATCATTATAATAATGCCGTTTATAACGGAACTATTTCTTTATAATCCCAGCAAACACAGATATAACAATTACATTGCCGTAATGAAACGGAATGCCCTTATAGAAATATCACACTAAGAATCATTGATAATTACTTATTATCTAGTATTTTTAATACTGAAAATAAATAATTATCAATGATTCTTAGTATGATATTTCTATAAGGGTGTAACATGTATATAATAGGTTATATAGACGTTCGTTATAATTTCCTACCCACACGTGTTACAGTTATATAACGTGAATATAACATCAAAGTAACATGTGACTAAAAAGTTATATAAAAGTTATATATTATTCGTTAACGAATTAATGCTAATTAACGCGAATTAATATATTTTTTTGTTGAATTCCAATAATTTATTCATTAATATGGTTCAAATAAGTGATAATGTATGATTATTTTGTCTAAATAATAAAAAAAAAACTGGCATTTCGTATTTCGTGTCATTTCACTTATTCCTGAAACTCGCGTGGTTTCGATCCTGTCAGGCGGTCACCCATTTTTACATCATGTTGTTCAATGCTTAACTTCAATGATCGTACGGGAACTGGTGATGCCGATGCGTTGTAACCTTTGAC